GTTTCCTGAGACAGGTCTCAGCAATTTACCCTGACTATAGACAATTCTGCTGCCCCTCAACATTTGTGCCCTGGGGCCTCATTTGCCTTACCCTAATTCCAGTCCTGACAGAAAGAATAGAGGACAGGAGATGGCTTAGGATTCTGTATGTGGGGGGAAAAATGTCCTTCGATTATGAAGGCAAAATATATATGTTTTTAGAGAAGCAAAAGTTAAGAGAATTCGTTGTCCTTCTGCCTGCACTGCAAGAGCAATCAGTGATCTTCAGGTGGAGAGGAATGATTCCAGAAAGAAACCCGGAAATCCACATAACCATTAATAGGCTAAACATACCAGTTAAAAAAACTTTATTAAAACTAGATTTAGAAAAAAAACATATATATTTTCTTAAAGACATAAGAACAGATAGTTTGAGAGTGGATAAAAGAGAACCAAAAGAAAACTCTTCGCATCATTGCTATTGTGAATTGTGCTGCTGTAAACATTCGACTGCAGGTGTTTTCTTAATAACATTTTTTTAATTTTCTTTGTGTAAATGCCCAGTAGTGAGAATTTGTTTTTATTTAGAAAATAAGTAAATAAAAAATAAAAGTTCTGTCATGAGTTAAAACAAACAAACAAACAAAAACCCAGAAAGCTGTTCCACTAAGCATGCCACTAAGAGAGTGAAACCGGAGGGAGAAATTATAAAGGTTCTCTGTCTGTGTGTCTCTGTCTCTCTACATATGACATACATTTATTTATACATCTGTTGTATGTATGTATATTTTAGGTGGATTGACATATTTGTGATGTATCATACACATACGTACATGTACAAATACAGTGATATATGCATATATATGATTAATGTGTATGTATCAATCTAACTAATACAGCAAATCTATTGGAAACATGGTCAGACTTACACAGACATTTCACTAGACACAATAGTGAAATGTCCCATAAACATATGACAAGGTGTTTAGCTTCATTAATTATGATAATGTAAATTGTAATCACAGTGAGATACCGTTACACATGTACTAGGAGGATGTAAATTGAAATGTCTACCAATACCAAGTACTGGTGAAGATATAGAACAACAGGAACCTCATACATTGCTGGTGGGAGGGTACCTTTGTGGACCCTCTTTGGAAATCAGTGAAATTATTCACTGAAGATGAATATGCTGGCAACAATGTACTTTATTGACCTTCTAAGGTGTATAGATGTCATATGTATAACTATAAGAAGCACAAAAGGAGGAAAGATGGAATAGAGCTCTAAGGGACTGACTTTTCCTTATTTTGCTGGAATAAAGACAGCATACATCTAAATTATATTGTGACATGTTAATATCAATATGGTAAAAGAAAAAGGCAGCTTTCTTTCTTTCAAAGGGGGAGAGAGAGTCACAGATGGCTTTTTGACAGTAATGATCAAATAGTAAAGCACAAGTCTAAGTAGGCTGCCACAAATTTAATTTTATACTGATAAACTCATTTCTTAGAATCATGTAAATGAATTTTCAGATTCAAAAGACATCTGCACTAGAATGTTTATAACAGCACAATTCACAATTGCAAACAATTGTGAATTGTGAATTGTTTGTGGAAACAACCCAAGTGCCCATCAATACATGAGGGGATTAATAAAATCTGGTATAGGTTGCCATGGAGTTCTACTCAGCCACAAAACAATTCTGCTCTAGCACCTCTTGTACTACCCTGGAATGGCTGAAACCCATTCTACTAAGTATTACAAGTATGGAGAAACAAGCACCATATGTACTCTCCATCAAATTGATATTAATTGACTTAGCTGACCAACACTTAAGTGCACATATACTAGTAATATTGATCGGGTTTTGAACAGTGGGGGAGTTGAATAGTGGGGGGGGGATGTGAGTATATTCACACCTAATGGGTGCTGTGTGTACCATCAGGGGGAAGGCCACGCTTGAAGCTCTGACTCGGGTGGGGCAAACACAATATATGTAACATAAACATTTGTACCCCTGTAACATGATTAAATAACAATACTAAATAAAATAAAATAAAAATGAAAAGTACCAAAAGGTGGCTTTATCAGCAGGTACCTCAAGGGAAATTTTCAGATATGTGATTTAGGCAGAAGGACATTTGTTACTGATAGAAAGCTCAACATTTCTTAGGTTTTTACAAGAAAACAAGTTTCTTGTCATTTTTTCTACCTCATGCTGGCTGAGGAATGCACATCGGGAAGCAGTGACAGTGGAAAGGGGAGGAAAGCTGTATGCTGAGGGTGGCAGTGCCCCTGCCCACCTGAGTGACCTCATGGAGCAGAGCCCCTCACACCCCAAGGCCACCTCCCTACATCTGGACTGTTAAGCCAGAGACAGAGAAACCTCATCACATTTAGCCCATCGTATTTTCAAGGTTTCTTTGTAGCAGCCAATTCTGTTTTCCTCTGATTTATCTTGTATGCCCTGTCAGCTCTGGGAGACCATTTGTTTTTCACCACTTTGTATTGAGATTACATCCCTATAGATTATCAACATCATGAAGGGTTATTTTATACATCCAACCACTTGGAATGGGTTTAGGCCTCATTCCCGGACTCACATCAAAGCAGAAACTCAAGGTCACTAGGTGCTGGCAATCACATAAGGGCTAAAGAAAATTACAGCATTACTTAAATCCTACTGTTCCTATGTACACTCTGTTTTTTCCTACTGCATTCCATCATACATTTTAAGTTCAATGATGCATTTGTTGAACCTTAAAATAACACATTGAGTGTCTTATATCTCATAATTTGAGGGCTCCAATCTGCTTGATTTATATCTGAATTTTGCCCTACAACTTTAATATCTAAATGAAACCACACTTTGGAATTTTAATTGCACTTACCAACAAGTCCATTATCTTGGAATAGAGAACAGTCTCATTCTTACTTTACACACTGAGCCTTCAGCAAATCTTGTTGTTAGTTGTTTCAATCATTATTTTAGTCTATCACATCTTGTCATGACAAGTTACTGACATGATTCAATATTAGGTCTGACAAAATTCTAGAGCAATATTTTAAATGGAATCTAACGAACGCATAAATTTTCTGGATACTTACAATAAAAACATAGAATTCAGATTTTTTAGGTCAGGATGATTTCAAGTGAAAGTAACATGTTTTTATGCTGTTTGAAACTTCTTGTTATAAGAACATAGTACCTAATTTGTCATATTTAGAATAGCATGTAGTTTAAATACTTTTAATTTTCTTAGAATTTTTAATAGAAAGAAAAATCTCATATAAGTCTGTATTTTCCCTATGGTCTATGAAGTAAACTTTAGACTCTGCATGTTTGAATTTACACTGTTTATTTTGAAAGCTCGCTTTTGGAATTGCAAGAATCCCTTTTTATGCTGCCTAAGGTAATTGAGGCAAATCAAAGTCTTTTGGCACTATGATCTTATATCTATCTACTAATAATTTACAAAGGCTATTTGAATAGTCTAAAATCAAACCTGTTCACTAATTATTCTTAGCCACACTTCCCCTGAGGACAGCTTGTGAAGATGCTTTCTCAAACATGATAGTGGAAAGGAAGTTTCCTGTGCATGGTGGAGGACTAGGCAGGGAAAAAATGAGAAAATACCAATTTCCCAATGTTATCAAGAATTATCTTTGAAAAAAAACCTCTACTGGTAATTTCCACTATGTATTCAACCTGTGTGGCCACTAATCTGCATCCATTGTCTGGTTGTCAAAAATAGGCAAGACAGGCTGAGGATGAGCGTTCATTTGCTCTCTCTTTCATCATAGCTGGTTGCTCACAGGGCACTTGGACCATCCGAATTCTCCTGCTGCTCAGGCCATGCCTAGGCTGTGCAGCTGATGGGCCTTAACATGAGGGACCTGAGGAGCAGCTGAGGCTCTCAGGGGCCAGAGTCCTCAGCAGCAAACTCTCCCTGTTTCTCCACCAGCCTCCTCTTCTGCAGACTCAGAGGACCTGCTGAGATGCTCCCCAGAGAAGCAGCCCTTGTGGGCAGCTGGGCCTCAACAGCAGGGAGGTTTGTGTTCGGGGCTGCACCACTGTGGGAGGAAATTGTATACCTTGCATGCAGTAATAAACCCCTACATCCGCAGCCTCCACTCTGCTGATTTTCAACGTAAAATCTGTCCCTGCCCCACTGCCACTGAACCTGTCTGGGACCCCAGAGAACCGGTTGGAAACCCTATAAATCAGGGGCTGTGGAGACTGGCCTGGCTTCTGCAGGTACCATTGCAAATACGTGTTTCCATTGCTATGCAGGAGGCTCTGGCTAGACCTGCAGGAGATGGAGGCCGGCTCTCCAGGGGTGACTGGCAGGGACAGTGGAGTCTGGGTCATCACAATATCTCCACTGGATCCTGAAATAATTAGAGATAAGTAGTAAAATGTTATATATATCATTATGAGCAATTTTCAGGATTTTTCTCATGTTTTTTATTTAAAGTTATTCTTTTTTATAAATTGTGATTCATATGATACAATTAATTTTTCTAAAATGAGCCCATTACTTACTAGGCAAAAGGAACTTTGTTTTATGAGATCTTAATCTTGGCCCTCATCATTGTTGTTTTTAGAGGGTTCCTCATTACTCAAAGGTCAAAATATAAATTTCCTTCCCAGGAACAAAGACCATATGTCTCTAACACATGGTTACAATAAATATGGGAAGCTGTGCCCCCTCCCCTCCACCGCCCAGAGCTCACCCACTCCCAGTCCTCCTTCCTCATCTCTTTCTGTCCTTACCAGGGACCCAGAGCACCAGCAGCCACATCAACTGAGCAGGGAGCCTCATTTTGAGAAGTTGGACTGAGGAGTCTTGGTCAGTCCAGGACAGCTTAGGGCTGAGCTTTATCTAGACTCACAAGGGAAGGTCCTCCCTAGGGGACAGTATGCAAATGCCCTGGTGTGTGCAGTGGAGTGGAAGAGCCACGTGGGCTGGGAACCCCTCTGGTGAGCAAACTGATAAAAAAAAATGTCTCTTGCAGGAGGACAAGTACGACTGAAGTGAAATTTGCCTTTCATAGAGGGAAACAGGATCCAGCTATGAGTGTTTGAATGTTGGCCCAGGATACATTGCACAGTATGTGCCACATTGAGAAAGCACAAGGACCCTGATAATGTGTAATAGACATGTGTGTCTAGGATTAACCTCTGAGAGGTCCATCCTGCTTGGACCCCTCACATCTAATCTAGAACAGGAAAGAGCCCCATCCATACAAGTTTTAATGCGCAGAGGACCTCCAAATAATAGGGCAGTCTTGAGTTAGTTCAAGAGTTGTCTGTTATCTGCTGGCACCTGGGTAACTATTCAAGGTTGCTAAATGTAGGTCTTAGAAAATGTTTTCTCCAGGGACCTAGTGATTTAACTCCATGAAAGCGCCTTGTGAAGGTCCTTGGCATGGAGAACGTTATGTGTCTCTGATATTGGATAGCTAACAAGCTATCTTAAGTAATAGAAAAGAGGGAGAGAATTGCATTCCGCAGACAGAGAATAGAAGATTCCTGGTGATCAGTAGCTCATGGATGTCTCACCATAATTACCTCAGATATAGCAGATTAGCCAGAGGGATTTCTTAAGGGAAGAGTTTCCTAGATTAACGGCACAGAATTAAAAATAAATACCTACATCATTTTCCTGAGTGTCGTTTATAAAACGCTTTCCACACAGTCTTTCTTGTTGTGTGGGGTCAGGTCCTGTGAGGGGTTGTTGTCAACTCCGAGTGAGGACCTGAGTCTCTGTCTTGTACTGTTTGTGGTGCAGCCACAGCCATGGGCTCACAGTTCAAAAGGAAAATTTTGTACGTGAGGAAAGCAAGAAGTCAATCAACAGTTTTAAATCTCAGGTCACCTGGACCAATGGGTGGCTTTCCTTTGAGGATAGTCACAGCTCAGGGATGTCAATCTATCACACAATGATCATTAAACAGGGAAATAACCTGGCTGCTCTTCCCTTGTCAGTAATGCACTTAGAATTGAATTGAATAGTTCATGACAAATGGTGCCTACACCAACTCACTTCACAAGGAGAGTCATTGTCCTGGACAATAAAAACAAAACAGAACAAAAAAAATCCTAAAGCAATTAAAAAATAGTTGGTACTGCCATGTTTTCTTGGGTAATTTAACCAAAGTCACACTTAATTGATAAAGAGCACAAGCAAGCAAACAAATGCAGTTCTAGGTATGATTCCACAAGAAATCTTGGTCTAAATATCTTCTGGGAAATCAACCAAAATAAACCTTTTAATAAGTTTGAAAGAGTTAACTGAGTAAAATTCATATTGACCTTTAAATGTTGAAGTCCATGGCAATAATATGGGTTGGTAATTACAAATTATGGAAAGGGGGTAGGATTAGAATAAAGTCTCATATTTCACTATTTAAAATTTGTATGCTTTTATTTCATTAAATGTTGTCAGTTTTTTGTAATTACTTTTTTTCAAAAGAATGCTGACCAATTTAATTCTGGTTCTTAGTATGGAATAGGTCAGACTCCTAATTAACCATAATTGATGAGAGTCATAAAGATCAGATGGTGAAAAGAAAAAGAGAAAAAGAAACACAAAAATAACCAAATATGCTAATTAAAAAAGAGAACACTCTGGTATGTATTATCATTGGATTGGTTTTAAAGAATTATTCTGAAAGGGTGGCAAAGAGTCAGTTCTACCTACTGTCCAATATAAAAACTGGAAGTATGAGAAAATAAGAAACAGCAAGCAATCTCTCCTGTTTCTTTTACTAGAAATCAATTAGTGAAAACATTATCTTTTCAAAGTATTCATTAAGATGCTTGAATTTCACAGAATATTGCTGTCTGGGGTGAAAATTAATAAAACTTTAAAAAGTCTGCCATCATGATTGGTTGTTTTATCTTATAATATGTTGCTTTTATATCTTTAGAAAGTGTAAAATCTTATAAAAATTCTTCTTTGTTCATAAAAGGCTTTAAAACTATCCTATGCTATTTATAGACTCAGAGAATAATATTCCTAATTTTAAACAGGAATCTCTCTCTCCTAAATGTGAGTACATTCTGCCCAGGCTTCAACAACAGCAGACAAAGCTGGTCATTGCATATTGTTCACTAATAATAAGAGTAAGGGCATAAAATAATCTTCATTTGCGTCCACTTAAGGAGCAAGCCTCTATGTTTCTCTAGTCTGGACCAAGGTCACTTGACTTTTATGGGTACATTATGGAGCCAAGGAGTTATAAAGTAGTTGTCATAGTTGTGTCTCCTTTACCTATTGCTGTGAGTTTCGATCCATAAAATTAGAAGCAAGTATATTATTCGTAGGAATTGGGAAGAAAGTCTTGGAAGTGGAATTGTTTGTGCCCATTATGCTGGTGTCATGTTTTTGGCTTGCAGAGTCAGATCCTGAATGTGAGGAGTTTGCGGTATCAGGGGGATGGTCAGGGGTAAAGAAAGGACCACAGGGTGGCAGTAGCACACACAAGTGTGACTGTGTGAAGTGTGACAGGTCTGCAGGGAGAAGTCCCTGTCAGCAGGAGACAGTCCAGAGGCTGAGTTGCCAGGGCTGCTTCTCAGAAGGGCGGAGGGACCCTGGGTCTGGAGAGGTCACACAGCAGCACAGTGGGGAGTCTCTGGGTCAGGGGGCTCCAAGCGCAGCAGCTGTTTGGGGTTTTCATAACCTGGGGCTTGTCTACTGCCAAGAATTTTGGGGGAGATTTTTTGGAATATGCAAAACAAGCGTCCTCTAACTGAGTAAAAATCTGCTTCTTTGTGTGTTCTTTGAAGTGACTAAATTGTAAAAGTTGAGTTTTCAAAAGGCCACTTAAAAATAAGCTTGCATTTAGATATGAATGACATAGAGGCCAGTATACAAACGCCATCTTTGATGAATTCGTGTAGCCACTATCAGCATTATTCATTTGCTTTTGGTCCCCATAGATTTACTTATTTTTTTATATCTTATAATAACGGGGTAAAACAATATGTGGTCGTTAAGACTGGCTTCTTTTGCTTAGCACAATGTCTGTCAGGTTTAATCGTGCTGTAGCACGGATCAGAACATCATCCCATCTCCTAGTTGAATGATATTCCAGTATGTATAAACCACATTTAGTCTACCCAATCAGGACTTGATGGACATTTGGGTATGATCCACATTTTGGCTTTTATGAATAGTGATGCCGTGAACATTTAGGTACGAGTTCTTGTTTCTAATATCTTAGGTACACATATAGAAGTGGATTTGCTGGGTCATAGGATAAATGTATGTTTAACAGTTTGAGGAACTGCCACCCATTTTCTAAGCAGCTGCACCATTATACATGACCACCAAAAATGTATGAGGGTTCCTATAAATTCAGAGTTCTCCAAAGAAACACAACACACACACACACACACACACACACACACACAGATGCACACACATTAAATGAAGAGAGAGAGAGAGAGATTGTTACGAAGAATTAACTCACACAAGTACAGAGGCTAAGAAGGCACATCATCTGCTCTCTGCAGGCTGGAGGCCCAGGAAAGCCAGTTGTCACCAGCCAGTCCAAGCTCAAAGGCCTAAGAACCAAAGGGACCAAAGTTGTGTGTCCCAGTCCCAGTCAGAAGGCCTGAAAACTGGAGGCCAGTGGTGTAAGTCTCAGTTCATGTCTGAATGCCCAAGAACCAGGAGCATTCATTTCTGAGAATAGGAGAATATGGAGGTCACAATTGAAGAAAAGACAGTGAGTTGGCATTGCTTCCACCTGTTTGTTCTATTTGGGCCTTCAAGGAATTGAATATTTTCTGCCCACATGAGTGAAGGCAATCTTCTTTACTCAGTCAACTGACTCAAATGCTAATCCCTTCTGCATATATTCTCACCAACACACACAGAAATAACATGGTAATAGCCAGGGCATTGTCAGCAGGCCTGTAGTCCAGCTACTCCAGAGGCTTAGACAAGAGGATTGCTTGAGCTCAGAAGGTTGAGGTTCCAGTGAGCTATGATGATGGCCCTGCATTCCTACCCAGACAACACAGTGAAACTCTGTCTGAAAAGAAAGAGAGAAAGAAAGAAAGAAAGAAAGAAAGAAAGAAAGAAAGAAAGAAAGAAAGAGAAAGAAATCTGGGCATCCCTTAGCCAAGTCATATTGAAGCACAAAATAAGTCACCACATTCCAGCAGAAGGAATGGCCACGGCACTCACTCTAGCCTGGACAACAAAGCGAGACTCTGTAAAAAAAAAAAAAAAAAAAAAAAGGTAAAAATGTTTTTGTCTCTTTAAAACTTCTCATACTCTTTTTTGGGAATTAAAACCTTCATCCCTGCCCCAGGCCAGTGGTCAGGAGGGGCAAGGGAGTGTCATTTATTTTTTGTGCCACAGGAGATGATGTGAGCCAGAGGTCACAGGATTATCTTTGCAAGGAATGGCACCAATCAGAACCATTAACTGTAGCTGAACAACTGTACCCTGAAGCTGAGGACCCTTCCTTTAAAAGCTCCATATTTCCGCTTATGATTAGGACAATGGTATTTTAAGACAGGAGTCTCCCTCCATTCTGCTCATTTGCTGGCAAATTAGTAGTAAATCTCTTTTTCCTTTCCTCAACCACTTGTCTTCCTCCTTCTGATGTGGACTCAGGGACAAGTGCTGAGCCCCTTCTGATAACAACAGTTCCATTCTCTCTACATCCTCACCAACACTTGTTATTTTCAATTTTTATTATTTTTGCCATCTTAGTATGCATGAAGAGGTCTCTAATTGTGGTTTTGATGTTTATTTCCTTAGTGATAAAGACATAGGGCATTTTTTCATGTGTTTATGTGCCATTTGAAAAATGTCCATATAGA